TATTAAAATTTTAAATTTACAAACTAAGGAAAAAGCAAATTTCAGATTGTTAAACTAGAAACAAAAGTAGCAAGCGGAACAAATTTTAAATTTATTTTCACTGATTTTATACATTTCTTAAAAATTGTATCGGATTTAAAATAGTTTTCAAAATTCTAACATCGGATTTAAAATAGTATTCAAAATTCTAACATGATTTTTTTGTTTTGTTTCTCAGAAAAATAGGCTCTGTACAAAATCAGAGTAAGAGCATATTTCCTTCGGCTGCTTCAGAGATGCGTTTCACTCTCCTGCCAAAGGTAAACATCAGCCGGCTTGTTCCCATCAAAAATGTCTACGTCAACAAACTTGACTTTTGGTATTTTATGCAAATGCTTCAAGTGTCACGGACTAAAATGGCAATTGAAACGCTAATGATGACATTTGGCAGGCCTAAGCAGCGGCCCAAGGAAAACAGAATAACAAACTAAAAACAAAACAGAGAGTGAAGGAGACAGAATGGTCTTCGTGTGCTTTTCCGTTTCCTGTTGGCGCTGCGCTGAGAAAACATAACAAATCGTTTTCTTTTTTGGCCTCCTTTTTGTTTTCCTTTTGAAGGGAAGTTTCCTTGTAGGCCTCTGGCATTTTTACGAGGCATTCAGCCAATTGACAGGCTTCAGTCGCTCGTAAAAACAAAATCAAGCAACGAAGAAAAATGATGCGCAGAGGAAAAACTGTCGAAGGGAATGAAAAGGAAACTATACGGCCCGTTCGAATCGCCTAAAAGTATACTTAAATATTTAAGGGCGAGCAAGGCAAAAGTTTAAAAAACATTAAAACGCATTTAGCAGGCTGTTTTGGGGCCTTCGGTATATACGGAATCGAGAATCTGTTTGCCCCGCCCATAAATACTTATTATCGCTTATTTGAACTTGCGAATGCTGCCAGCAGCGATGCTTGTGATTTACTTTTATTTGAGCTGGCTTTTCCTTTCCTTCGCCTCGCTCTGCTTTTCCCCCTGAATTTTTGTGCGTGAGTTGTCAGTGTGCGAAAAAATCGATTTTTATTTCGTCTCGCAGAGAAAAAAGGTCAAAAACAATAAAAGCCTAAATACACATACGAGCCTTTGAACTGGCTTTGATAAAAGCAACGCAGTCTCAGCCGCAGGAGAAGAAGAGTCGGCGAAAAAAAGGAGGTCCTGGAAGGAGGGTAAGCCTCCAATCAATGGCTGTGCGTCGCTTTTGGTACGTGTGAATTTAAGCTGATTAAAGAATTGAGCTCCTCCGCCCGAGAAAAGAAGACAAGTGCAGAGCAGAGCAGAACAGCGCAGAAAAAAGAAAAGAAAAACGAAACGAAACGAATAACGCAGAAAGGCAGAAATTGATGTCTGCTTTTAGGCGTAGATGCTGCCTTGGCTTTATTTATGCCTTTTGTCTGGGCTCGGAGGCTTTGTTATTTGGGGCTTAGTGGTGAATATCCCCTCGTCCTTTTAATTTGCACCCCACGAAAACACATGTGGGACAGATAAAAGAAGTGGCAGCCCCGAGCAGTCGCGGTCGCAGCTGAAGCCAATCATCATTGGCAGTCAATCTATATTACAAATTCAATTGAATTTGTCGCTCTTTATTTTCGCTAATCAAATTGCAAGAGCTGCCATAAAAATGTTGACACTAATAAGGCCGCCAGCAGGTAGAAAAAGTGTCACCTACTTTATGGTCAAAATAATACTTTTCGCGAGAACATTTCGGCCAACAAAAGCAGGCAAAATACAATTCAGATGCGTAATCAGGCGTAAGAAAATGGGGAAAGTGAATGGCAGCAAACGAAATGAGAAAAGTTTTTTTCTGACATTGGAGAGGGCAACGCTGCGTATTATTATTATTATTAGTTTTCGCCCTAAAACTTTTCGCAGCCTGCTTATTAGTAGGCGATGTGGAAAGGGGTTTTGTTTCATAGCTCATTGCTTTTCAATTTGATCAGACTTTGCCTATAATGAGCTCTCTGGGAAAGTTTGCTTTCGCTGGGAATTTCCACACAACCGCACATGTGCTCTCCATTTAATGTTCTTCCTTCTCGAGGCTGCGGGTTTTGTTAATTTTCGACTGTCATTTATCATCAGGTGAGAGGGATGCGAGGAAATTTTTATGGAGTTGATTTTTAATCTTTCGCAATCATTCCCCAACGCCGTGCGAGCACCGCAGGAGGAAATGAATATTTATAAGTATGATGGATGAGGCGAGACGGGAAGTGCCCCAGGTGGAGGAGGGCTGGTGCGGCATCTGATTTACTGACGTGTGACAAGGAGTCAAGCGGAGGAGACGAGCCGGGTAGCTGGGTAACTGGGTAGCTGGGGATAAAGGTAAGGAAATTAATGCGTAGTTAGAAACATAAATCTGTGCGTCGTCCTTGCCGGCACGAGGAAATGGCGAGGATTTCACAATTTATGTTTGTGTGCCCGTCTAAAGGCAGATTCTTTTCGCTCACAGGTCGTATGAGTGATATTAATTTGACTTTAAGTCGTTCTCGCCGGCAGCCAAAGAATATCAAACGTAACACGTCAACGTAAACGTAAGCGAACGTATGCAATTTACGTGACATCATTACGTGTTAGACAAGTACAAATTACGCGTTAAGGCGAGACAGAGAGGGGAAATACGGCAGACGACAATATGAGTTTGATAATGATGAAGCATGGTGTGTGTGAGTGTGTGTCTGTGTGAGTGTGTGGGAGGGCAGGAATATCAAGATAAATAACTAAGCTAGGACATGTGTGTGTGTGCCTGTGCCAATGAAACGAAAGTCATCAGACTTAGATATGGCACAGAAGATTGCAAATGCGACAAACGTTGTCGGGAAACGAAGGACATACATACATAAATATACATACAGCAGGACGAAAGACAAAGGCTACAAATTGTACTTTCGGGTTTCAGTTTGGGTTGGTCAAAGCCTAGACATGTCAACAATGCCTGTCTCAGTAAGTTAAAATTGATGAAGTTAGCAGGCTGAGATTGGGGCCCGAAACCCTTTTAAATCAGCTTTCCTTCAGCACTTGTCAACACTAATAAATATATTCATATCCCCCCAGTCCGCACTCCATTCACATTTCATGCTTAATTTGAGTTTAAATAAATTACATTTCTTTGTGCGGCTAAAAAAAGCAAATGTCAGCGGGGTGAAAACTTGCAGTAGCCGGCAGGATTTTGGCCTGGCCAAGACCAGCAATTAAACTTGTCCTTGTCTAATTGCATTTTGGCCTAAACCAAAGAACCAAAGCCAAAGCCAAAGATCCCCTCCACACAAACACAGAATAGCACACAGAGGGCAAGTCAAAAGTCGCAGGACTTGGTGCCGAGTTGCCAAGTGCTCTGCTGATAGCGGCCCAAAAAGTTTAGCGCTTTAATTTCTTAGAAATTTGTTCCAACTCGGCCAAAAGGATGGGCGCAAACAAAGCAACAAACAAAAATGTCGACTTGATTGCGTCGCTGATGGTTTGGGCCTGCTCCGTAGCTCTACGTCCAAATCCAAGCCCAAGCCCAAGTCCAAGTCCAAGCCCTAGTGCCATAGACCAGGTCCACAATTGTGCGGACAGATTGCCGGCAAGTTGCCAGAGTTGAGTTGAGTCGAGTTGCTTCAAGTTCCCAATCCCCAGCGGATTAGAAAAGTTTAAATTGTTGCTAGCTGGCGATAGAGAGAGGGCCAGGCGAAAAGGAGCGCGCAGCAAAGCGAAATCGAAGCAGCCGAAGAACGGATGAATAAAGGGAGCAACGTAACGATTAGTGCTTTCATGTCCTTTGCCAAAGTTTAAAGGTCATCCGGAGGAGGGTCCTGTCGTTCGCTCGCTGGCTGCTGATTTGACACATCAACTTTGTCAAGGTTTTTTGCCACACACACACACACACACACCAGCGACAGCGACTGTTATGAGCAATGGCTGTGTGTCCTGATCTCCACCCCCCCCTCGTTGAATTCGAAGGTCCTGCTGGCGAGGGTGTCTGTGTGCACAAGCAATTTGTGCAATGGACATTTTCGGGCGCTGCCATTTCTCTGCTCTGCAGTGATAAGCGCTGCCAGCTGCAAAATGTCTTAAAAGATTGCGGAGTGCACTGACTTTCAGTCCGATTCTAGATGCCCGGGGGCATCCTGCGATGATTGCGAAATGTGTAGCATACTTTTGTGCGATTGTACCTTTCACTGAGTGAAATTTATGGGGTGGCTCATGGGGGGGAGGGGCGTCTCAGCGCACCCACACAGCGGGGGAAATATTGAAATTACTTTGAAGCTGCTGCATAATGAGCCTGTCAATAAGTTTATCAAAGCAACAACTACTCGTGCCACTCGGCTGACCCAAAAAACAAAGTTGAAGTGCTGTGTAAATTATGCAAATCTTTATCATTCTTTTTCTGCCCTGCTGGGGATATGGTGGGGTAGGGGGGGATTGGATCGAGGGGACTTGGGTCGATGGGCTGTCACAAACAAGCGTGAAGCACGACAACTGTGTGAGGGACCCAGTAAAAACAATATGGCGCCCTGGCCAGCGAGGCCTGGCCAAAATACCCCACCTCCACCTTTTTCCCCAGCCTGACTGCCATTGACAGTTCAACGTTGTTTTGCTATACGCTTTTCCTATTTTCTCTACCTTTTCCAAGTATTTTTTCGAGGTTCGTATTCGTTCTTTTTTTTTGTGAAATGTCAAATTTTTGCAGACACTTTTGACAGTTTATCGAAGTGCGCCCGTAATTTTTGCTGACGTGTGTTGTAGGTGTTGAAAATAGCTGGAGAATGCTTAGGTTTGGGAAGGAAAGGCGGGACGAACAAACTTTGGCTGGCTCTGCACTTTTTGGCTGAGTGCTTTGGCACAAAAACTTTCCCCAAAGAAAAAGACGGGTCAAGTTTTTCGTAATTATTTGTTTTGGGTCACCTATGGAGACTACTTTCGGTTTGTTGTTCACAAATTGATTTTCTGGCTGGGAGTACACAATTCTACAGAGCATAAATGAATATGGCAGATGATTACTTACCGCTGCGACTTTCATTTTCAGCTGGCTTCAGCTGTAAAGCACGGTTCATCTGCAATGAAAAAAGAGCAGAAAAGAGGCTTAAATTAATATTGGGGCGGGCGAAACAAGAGCGGCGGCTGAAAAAGAGATTTTGCGTTAACAGTGTTAGCAGGAAAGTCCATTAAGTCGGTGGTTGGCACCGGCCAGCCCCCTCAAATTCAATCAACTTGCGTTGGTGGTCGAGAGAAGCTCTTCATAAACACCTCCCAAAACACATTTGGCCAGCGAAGCATTTTCAAGCATTTAAATGCCACTCAATATGCAAGCCCATCTCCTGTCGCTTCGCCCTCGCCTCTGCACATTTGCGCTCATTGCCTTTTACCCACGACTGGGCAGCCACATCCTGTGCCGCTTCATGCATCATTAAAGCTTAAATCTCACCCAAGCGACCCATGTCGATTCTGGCCAGCCAACACTTAACGTCCTCTCTCTCTGTTCATCCACTTGGGATCGGTATGGGGAACGGGAATGGGAATGGTAGTGGGACTGGGATTGGGATTGGGGTGAATATGGGTCTGGAACGGCTACGTGTTGTGGTCACCTTTTGGTTTATGGCAAATGAGTAATATGCCCGTGCCAGAGCACGAAAAATCCCATTAAAAGACGTTCAAATGAAATGCATTAAAATAAAACTTAATTGAGGGCTTTATACGGAATGTTCGAATCGGATGGCCAACAAAAACCGCAGAAGCCCGAGCAAATCAATAATCAGCCAGAAGGCGACCCTTTCAGTTCAGTTCAGTTTTCTCTATCTCTCTCTCAGGTGTAATTTATTTGCACCGCACACACACACCGCAAAAGGGGGCGGCACCGAACCACGCCCCTGGGTTTCCTGGCCTTAGATTGGCCCATCACCAGAGGTCCTCGGTCCGTTTCGGAGGTCCTGCGCCTCGTTCTGTCATTAGCCGCATGGCCGCATGGAAGTCTGTCGTCTCATCGCCTGCCGCTTGTCGCATGAATATTTTATAATACACCATTAGTTTGCGGCAATTGAAAATGATTGAAGCTTTTAACTGCAAAATTCAATTGCTTTATATAACCGTGGGTGGATGGGTGTCTGGGTGAGCCCTTTGCCACCTCGTAACAACCCCCCCACCCGCACCCACAATATGAAATATTTAATGGTGTAGTCCAGCTACGAATTCGTGTTTTTTCGGAACAATCCATTAGTCAGAGGCGAGTAATTAAAATTGCGATTTATGCACGCGCATGGTACATTTTTCGGGGGTACTCTCTGCTTGCGATTGGACTTGTTTGTAATTCAATTATGTTAATGATTGGACAACATTTACCGTATTTACATTAATGCATAATGAATGACTGCTGGTGCTCCGAATTGTCGGAGGCCCAAACTGCTATTGGCCCTCTGTTTTTTTTAATTGTAACTGCAGCTGGAACTGAGGGTCGGCTAAACACGGCTAACGGCAATTAAGTGCATTTCTCTGTCTGACCAAAGGCATGCTGAATCCCCCAGTTCCACCCACTTCATCACTCTTCGCCAGACAACACATAAATGCGCTTTTGCTTTACTCAAAGCTCAGCTGGATAAATTAAGTGGTCGATGAACTGAAGCCTTGTTGATTTTATATACAGGCGATGTCGATGACAGCGGGACAGGGGTTCAAAGTGGTGACGCCGCAGAATTTAAACCAATGTTTAACCGAAAAATGTTCATTTAGTCGCACGTCCTGCGCCAGGGATGCTCCTTCTTCTGCTCCTGCTGATGAATGATTGATGTGGCGTGGTTTAATAAATTGGAAAATGTTTTCAGCTCAAGTTGAGCTCAGGGCATCTCAAAGGCAAGGCTAAGCTGCATGCAGGTTGTGCGCCCTCTGCTATCCATTCTCTGGGCTCCCCAGACTCGACTTCCATTTCACTTCTTTTTTTTATACCCTTGCAGAGGGTATTATAATTTTGGTCAAAAGTGTGCAACGCAGTGAAGGAGACATCTCCGACCCTATAAAGTATATATATTCTTGATCAGGATCACCTCCTGAGTTGATATAGCCATGTCCGTCTGTCCGTCTGTCCGTCTGTCCGTCTGTCTGTTTCTACGCAAACTAGTCTCTCAGTTTTAAAGCTATCGGATTGAAACTTTGCACACACCCTTCTTTCCTTTGCACGCAGTATATAAGTCGGAACGGCCGGGATCGGCCGACTATATCCTATAGCTGCCATATAACTGATTGATCGGAAATGCCATAACTTTGGTGTTTGTAAAGTTAGAAAGTTGGGATTTTCTATGGGTTTTATATTTGGCCAATCAATCCGACCTACCAAATTTCATAAGGATCGGCCGACTATATCCTATAGCTGCCATATAACTGATTGATCGGAAATGCCATAACTTTGGTGTTTGTAAAGTTAGAAAATTGGGATTTTCTATGGATTTTATTTTTGGCCAATCAATCCGACCTACCAAATTTCATAAGGATCGGCCGACTATATCCTATAGCTGCCATATAACTGATTGATCGGAAATGCCATAACTTTGGTGTTTGTAAAGTTAGGAAGTTGGGATTTTCTATGGATTTTATTTTTGGCCAATCAATCCGACCTACCAAATTTCATAAGGATCGGCCGACTATATCCTATAGCTGCCATATAACTGATTGATCGGAAATGCCATAACTTTGGTGTTTGTAAAGTTAGAAAATTGGGATTTTCTATGGATTTTATTTTTGGCCAATCAATCCGACCTACCAAATTTCATAAGGATCGGCCGACTATATCCTATAGCTGCCATATAACTGATTGATCGGAAATGCCATAACTTTGGTGTTTGTAAAGTTAGGAAGTTGGGATTTTCTATGGATTTTATTTTTGGCCAATCAATCCGACCTACCAAATTTCATAAGGATCGGCCGACTATATCCTATAGCTGCCATATAACTGATTGATCGGAAATGCCATAACTTTGGTGTTTGTAAAGTTAGGAAGTTGGGATTTTCTATGGTTTTTATTTTTGGCCAATCAATCCGACCTACCAAATTTCATAAGGATCGGCCGACTATATCCTATAGCTGCCATATAACTGATTGATCGGAAATGCCATAACTTTGGTGTTTGTAAAGTTAGAAAATTGGGATTTTCTATGGATTTTATTTTTGGCCAATCAATCCGACCTACCAAATTTCATAAGGATCGGCCGACTATATCCTATAGCTGCCATATAACTGATTGATCGGAAATGCCATAACTTTGGTGTTTGTAAAGTTAGGAAGTTGGGATTTTCTATGGATTTTATTTTTGGCCAATCAATCCGACCTACCAAATTTCATAAGGATCGGCCGACTATATCCTATAGCTGCCATATAACTGAACGATTGGAAATGCCATAACTTTGTTGTTGTTAAAGTTAGGAAGTTCGGATTTTTTATGAGTATTAAGAATGCATCATATGAATAATTTTGGAGAATATAATTTACAGAGTATTCTGCAAGGGTATATCAACTTCGGCTCCGCCCGAAGTTAGCTTTCCTTTCTTGTTTTTTCTTTTTTTTGTTGAAGGGTTTATCAATGCTGGAAGCCCGCAGCTGGCTGCCACATCAATTGGCTGGCTTTGACTGCAAAAACAACAAGCCGAAATCAGTGCAGCCTGCACACATATTGATCGGGCATTCAATGCACTTGATGAAAGTCTGGCCCGCTTTTCCGCATTTCCCTTGGTTAATGAACTTCTGGTTCTTCATTTATGAGGAGGGAAAAATTCTGCACATTTTCTGAAAATTTAACTTTAGCTCTGGCCAAGCTCTGCGGTGGCGTCCCTTCTAAGGCATCTCTGACTCTGCACAAAAGTCTAGCTAATTATTAGCGCCAGAAAAGGCTTCCCCTCAGTCTCTCTCTTTTGGCCGCGTAATTAGCGCACATAATTTGAAATTTAAATGTTGCCAAAAGCCGAAGCCTTTGAGAGTCAAAATGCTAATTAAATCTGGCTCTCATTTTCGGGGCTGTGTGCGGAATCAAAAGATGCCTGCCTCGACACAATTAGCCTTAACAATTGCTTATGACAAAGTGTCGTTTTGGGGGTTTTGGGTGGTGTGCTGGAAGGGGAGGTGGTGGGGGGTTGAAGATATTGCAGTCGACAGGCGCCAGTGGCAACGTTAAACCGCAAATTTTAGCGCCCCAGCAAGTCGAGCATGACGAGTTCCAGGGGTCGAGGGGTTGAGAGGTCGAGGGGTCGAGACTAGCCGCAGTGTCGCCGCCTACGCATATGCAATGCCTGAAAGTGCCAACTTGGCCAAGTGCTCTGCTGTGAGCTCGACCCCCCCCCCCCTCAGCCCATCCCCATTTTGGATGGCTTTGCTGCTGGGTGCATGGACCCATAAACTGCGTTAGTTTATGATGCCCGAGCGCTAAGTGAGCAAAGCGAAATACGCAGAGAGACAGCGCCAGAGATGCAGAGATCCAGTCAAGCCGTAAGTGCCTTCCTAAAATCCCCAAACCCATCCCATCCCATCCCATTCCATGTGCAATTAGAATGCGGCGCATTGAACCGGGGCTAGAGCGCAAATACCCGGAGCCCGAGCTTTCAGACCGCTTTGGTCAGTGGTGTGTTGTTGTTTTTATGCATTCGCTGGTCGAACTACATAAAACGGAACAACGAAAATGCAATTAAAACTACGTTTTATGGCTTTGTTATGGCAGCCGGCCCCCGACTTTCGTCCAGTTGGCCTTTCCCCTTCTGGAGCACATGAAGAGCGATTTTTATGATGCTTTCTCCACTCCATGATGATGATAGTTTGGAAAATGGTTTCGAATTGAGTGGCCCCGGCAACTTTTGTTGATAGAAAAGTAATATTTTATGGGGTTAGCCCGGGGGTTTTGGATGGGGTAAGGTAAACTGGGTTTGCTTATTGAAAACGCCGCTCGGTTCGCTTCTTTTCTAACAAAAATCATCAAAGTTTTATGCCAAAGTTTTTTGAGCTGCTGTTCCTGGTGCTCCGGTTGCTTGTGGACATGGCCACACAGATACTCGACAAAAGTCCCTCTTCCGATAGAGAAATTTGT